CCCCCCCCCCCCCCACCCCCAAAAACAACAACAAGACAAAACACAAAAACAATGATGCATCAGACAACGGAGCTCAGGAGCTGATATCCGAATCGGCCTCCACGCTTTTCGACTCTGAAGACGGCTTGGCGCCTTGGCTTTGTCTTCGGGTTTGGGGTTCAGATTTTAGGCTTAGGGTTTAGGAGTTTAGGATTCAGGCGTTTGGGGTTGAGGGTTTAGGGGTTTTGGGTTCCCGAGTTAAGGGTGTGTCAGCAGGATTTAGTGGATGGAGGGCTCGGTTCAGGTGCATTTCTAGCTCCTCTTCACGTCCCGCTTCCGGTTTGAGTTCACCAGTCTGGACAAAGTCCCAAAGGTGGTTCGGCCTTGTGTAAGTGTGCGCAACACAAGCTTCCCCATCATAGCATAGTTTGTCTAGGCACGGCAACTGCGATATATCAGATGTATCAGAAGCTGTGTAACTTGCCAATGTTTGCCTCATATGGGTTGTTCTCACAATCATAGGCCCCTTTTGGTGGTAGATGATAATTGGACACCTAATTTTTGGGGGTACCGAAATGGGACACTAATTTTGGGAACTACCCATATGCTAGGCAGGAGCAGAAGGATTTTTCCCAACAGCCACTAGCCATGCAGGTTAGGGCCTGGGCCTGTGGGGACCCTTTGCGCGGTGCCCATATGAGCTATGGTCTTTGGACTCCAGCTTGTGTTATGTTTTTTGTTTTGTGGTTTTGTGAAGACTTGTGTGAAGTCCAGGACCACAGCTGCAATCTCTCACCTCAGGACCTACCCGTCATCTAGCCCACTCTGAACACCAAGACGTATGGCAAAGGTGATGCAGGTCAATCGAACTACTGGCTGTGAGCGCCAAGCAAACATGAACATGAGGATAGTAGAAAGACAAGGCGGCAGCCTCACGCATGTTGAAGCTTGAAGACCTGACCGGATCCTGTGCGACCTGTCCGTCACAATTGACATCGCAAATCTATGATAATATCTGTATTTATGAGCGTACATCATCTATGTATGCAGTGTATACATATGTACATATTCAGATAGACCAATATTGCTAATTCTCTATGTTACGTACCTGTGGAGTGCAGCTGCTAGACGATGGTCCGATACCCCAAACTCGAAACTACTGGGCACACGCCAAAGTCCGACCGGACCCTAAACAAGCAACCCTCAACCCTAAACCCTGAGCCCTAATTAAACTTTAAACCCTCAACCCTAGTCCAAGGACCTGCTAGAACTTGCAGAGGATTTCTACAAGGTCCCGCTTCCCAGGGCTGTCCCGCACAGGTTGCTCCCAGAATTTGGATTCATCTTGGGCGTGTGTTTAGAAACAGGGTGTTCAGCGTGGGTGTCCGCACAAGAAGACCCTTGGGAGCTCTGGCTCTGAGGTTCCAACCTTCGAAGCTAGAGCCCTGAGAAGGGTAGAGAATGGAGGTTTGCTTGTTTTTCGAAGGGGCTTCTCTGAAGATTGGTGCAGCGTTTTTTGGTGGCAAAGATTGGGTTCGCATGAACGAAGTTAGAGGTTTGAAGAAAAGAAAAGCACCGCATCTTCACCCCAAAGCCGGCAATGCAACCTTACCCAGCCCTGATCCTTGTGAACGACTCTATGTTTCCAGCTGCGATTTCATGTTCCATATGAGTCTCCATTATTCTATCCCTAAACACCCCATGCGTTCCTGAATGTAGGGATTTATAGGGATCATGTGTGGTTTTGGTGGTTGCTACCCGATAGTGGAGAATCAAATGGAGAAGAAATTGAAAGCTACGTGTGTGTGTGTGTGT